TCGGGGCCCCGGTACCGCCGCAGGCCCCGCTGGCACCGGCGCGGCCGGGGGGGAGCGGCGGGAGCGGCCCCGCCCCGGCTTCCCGCGAGAGCGGCGGCGACCAATCAGAAGCGCGCCTTTAAGGGGCGGGGCTTCCGGGCGGAGCGTGCCGTTGATTGGCTGGTTGAGGCCCCGCCCGCAGCGTGGTCACGTGGCGAGGCCGCGTGAGGCGGGAGCCGCCGGCTTTGATCGCGATAATTAACGGGGATTAATGAATAATTAATGAGTAATTAATGAATGACTGATGAAAGGAACCGGGAGAGCGGCGGGCTGGGCAAGGCGGCTCAGGGAGAGCAGGGGGCGTGGAGCGGCTGCGCCACGGGAGGTTTGGGAATGTTGGGAAAATTCCCACCTGGAAAATTCCCACCTGGAAAAGCTCCAGGCATGGAGGAGCTGCCCGGCAGGGCTGGGATCACATCCCGCAGGGATTGAAACCCTTTGGATGTGGCACTTGGGGCAGCGGCACGGTTGGAGTCCAGGATCTCCAAGGGCTTTTCCAACAGAAACAATTCCACGATTCCAAGCAAATTCCAGATCCTCCATCCCTAGAAACCACCCAGCTGAGGATAAACCCAACAGAGCCCGGATGAACGCCATTCAATCCCGACCCGACGCTAGCCCCGGGAATTCTGCACCTTGCCCACCAGGAGCTGCTGCTTCGGAGGAGATCCCAGGCCTGGGAAAGGCTGGAAAATCAGGAATTCCAAGAGGAATTGTTATCCACGGCCTCGTCGGCTCCTGATTCCTGGATTCCCTTGATTTTCCAGGAAAAGCAATCCCAATGCAGCGCAGATTCCAGCGCGTTGGAAGGAGCGGCGCCTCTCGGCCACCAATTCCCACCCCAGTTTTTCCTTGGTTTTGCCAAGGAGCCGGAATGGCTTCCACCAACCCCGACATTCCCATCTTTCCCTCAAGATCCAAAGGAAACGTTCCCATCTTTTCCTGGTTTATTCCCCAGATCCGAAGGGAGCGTTCCGCGGGCCCCACCCCCCGCTGGCAGCCCCAGCGGATCCCGGCCGGAACGCCGCGGGATCGGCCCCGCTCAGAAGTTCTCCTTGGAGAAGCGGAAGCCGAAGCTCCGGCAGTGCCCGCGGATGAGCTTGGCCAGCCCCGCGGAGCCGCAGAAGAACACCCGGACCTTCCCGCGCCGCTCCGCCGCCACCTTGGCGAACACCTGCGGCGGGAACGCGCCGGGATCCGGGAACGCTCCGTTCCCTTCCAGCCCCGCCCGCTCCATCGTCCCCGGATCCCATCCCGCCATCCCTGGGCCACATGAGGCACTTGGAATGAGGTCGTCTTTGGGGCCCTTCCAACCCAACCCATTCCCTGATTCCATGATCCCATTCCCTGATTCCATGATCCCATTCCCTGACTCCATGATCCCATTCCATGACTCCATGATCTCTGCCCCAGATCAGAAGCTTGGAATGAGATCATCTTCCCATTCCCTGATTCTCTGATCCCATTCCATGATCCCATTCCCTGATTCCATGATCCCATTCCCTGATTCTGTTATCCCATTCCCCAGTTCTCTGATCCCATTCCATGATCCCATTCCCCAATTCTCTGATCCCATTCCATTATTCCATGATCCCATTCCATTATTCCATGATCCCATTCCCTGATCCCATTCCCCAGTTTTCTGATCCCATTCCATGATCCCATTCCCCAATTCTCTGATCCCATTCCATTATTCCATGATCCCACTCCATTATTCCATGATCCCATTCCATGATCCCATTCCCTGATTCTCTGATCTCATTCCATGATCCCTTTCCCCAATTCTCTGATCCCATTCCATTATTCCATGATCCCATTCCCTGATTCTCTGATCCCATTCCATGATCCCATTCCCCAATTCTCTGATCCCATTCCATTATTCCATGATCCCATTCCATTATTCCATTCCCCGATTGCATGATCCCATTCCCCGATTCCCTGATCCCTGCCTCGGCGCCGCTCACCCTCTCCACACCCCAGCATTCCCATTCCCGGGCTCCCTGACCTGGTCCCAGTCGGGGCGGCCGGGCCGGGTGCGGCTGCGGAGCCCGGAGATGGAATCCCGCTGTTCCCGGGCCGCCAGCAGGTCCAGGGCCAGCTGCAGCCCCAGCGCCTTCACGTCGCCCTTGCCCAGCGCCGAGGTCATGTACAGCTGCAGCTCCAGGAACTTCCCTGGCAATCCCAGGGATTCCAGCCGCCCGCCGGGATCCGGCCCCGCTCCAGGGCCTGGACCGGGCTGGGGGTTTTCCCGGGAATGACCTGGATGCTCCTGCTCACCTCCCGGCTCCAGCTCCTCCTGCTCCGCCTCCAGCTTGGCCAGGAGGCCCAGGAACCACTGCAGGTGCTGCTGGTCCCGTGTGATCCAGATGAAATCCACCTGGCAGGGCGGGAAAGCCTCGCCTTGGGATCTCACTGGATCCCGGCACCAGACCCTGATACCAGATCCAGCCCCCATTCCCAAAGCTCCCAGATTTGAGGGATGCTCCTGAGCTCTCCACCTCCAGACCCTGCAGCCCCACCCCAGGCCAAGCCTGGATCCCACATCCCCTCTCGCTCCCGTTCCCACCTTGCGGAGCGTCATCTCCTCATCCCGCCGTTCCTCGCTCCAGGAGAAATGGCAGCTGGGGCAGCTCTGCTTCCGCCGCCGGTACCTGTGTGGGGCAGCGGCACTTCCTGCCTTGTCCTGCTCCTTCCTTCCCATTCCTGCTCCTTCCTCCTCCTTCCTTCTCCTTCCTGCCTTGTCCTGCTCCATCCTTCCCATTCCCGCTCCCTCCTGCCCCTTTCTACCTTTCCCTGCTGCTTCCTTCCCTTTCTTGCCCATTCCTGCATTCTCCTCCTTCCTTTTCCTGCTCCTTCCTGCCCATTCCTTCCCCTTCCCTCCCGGTGCCTGCCCATGGCCAAGCTCCCTCCAGCGCCCTTCGCGCAGCCCAAATTCCCAAGGAAAACCCTGGCACCTGTGGCCGTGGGAATGAATCCCAAGGATCGAGGACTGGAGGAAGCTCCACCTGGGCATCCATCCCGAATCCCTGGGACATTCCCAGGCTGCGGGGGCTCGGCGGGACCCACCGGAACATGATGCTCTGCAGGATGGAGGCGAAGGGGGTGATCCCGATGCCGGCTCCGATGAGAACGGCGTGCTCCGAGGTGAAGATCCGCCGGCTCGGGGTTCCGTAGGGACCGTCCAGGAAGCACTGGGAGAGATCCAGCAGTTCCAGGGGCTGGAGCAGCTCCCGGGCACAAAGGGGATCCTGGAATTTGGGATCTTCCCGGGGTTTTGTGGGAGCAAGGAATGGGTGGGAAGGACTGGAGATTTCCAGCAGGGCAGGGTTTGGATCAGCCCCAGCTGGGATCAGCCATGCACAGGGATGGAGCAGCTGGGAATGGGGATGGGATGGTGGGAATGAGGATGGGATGGACGGGATTGGGGATGGGATGGTGGGAATGCTGATCCCAGCCCATTTCCCGGGATCCAGGAAAGGCAGGAACATCCTCACCTTGACGCTGCAGCTCCGCTGGGTCTCCCTGGGCCCAGCGCCCTGCAGGAGAGGGGAGCAGTGACCACCCCCCCTTCCCAAGCACTCCCAAAATTCCCTGGATTTGGGCATTTTCCCACTGGGCTGCACACACAATTCCAGCTGCCAATGCCACAATAATATCCAAGGAATTCCTTTCTGAAGAGGAGCTTTTTAAGGAGCTTTATCCAATTTGGGATCCAGTCCCTGTCCCCTGCGGTTGGGGCAGTGCTCACCCCCTGCTCTGGGTCCTTTCCTGGGAAAGTGGCTCCAGAGGCTTGGAATGCCGTCAGCTCCACGGCTCCGTCCCTGCTGAAGGCCACGGATCCTTCCTGGGAAAAAAGGCTGGAATCAGCGCTGGGATCACCGCTCCAGGGATCTGCTGGGCCTCCAGCAGGGTCACAGCAATTCCCATTCCATGGAAAATCCACAAAATCCCATCCATCCCAAATCCCACCATCCCATCCATCCATCCCAAATCCCATTCCATGGAGCACAAAATCCCATCAATCCCAAATCACACCATCCCATCCATCCATCCTAAATCCCATTCCATGGAACACAAAATCCCACCATCCCAAATCCCATTCCATGGAGCACAAAATCCCATCAATCCCAAATCCCACCATCCATCCCAAATCCCATTCCACGGGCACAAATTCCATGGGGCACAAATTCCATGGGGCACAAATTCCCATTCCATACGACACAAACCCTTCAAGGCTGGACAAGCAGGGAATGTTCATCCCAAGGGATTCCCCGGTTGGGATGATCCCATGGGATCCACTCCACATGCAGCTGCACCCATCCCTTTGCTCTGCTCCCAATCCCACCATCCCACCTGTTCCCAGTGCCGGCTCCTCCGCTCCATCCAGCTTTTCCTGGGCAGATTTGGCTCCGGGCCGTGCAATTCCAGCTGCTGGAAGTACTCGTAGAGCTTGGTGGTCCATTGGCCCCGCGCCCGGATGTGCAGCCACAGGGTTTCTGTGGGATCAATCCCAAAATCCTGGAATTCTCTGGATTGGGAAGAACTTCAAACCCAACTCATCCCGTGAAACTGGCCTGGCTCGCTCCAAGCCCCATCCCAGATGGAAAAAACATCACTGTGGGCATGGAAAACAGATCCTGGGGGTGGGAAATGGATCCCAGGGATGGAAAATGATCCCAGGGGTGGGAAACGGATCCTGGGTGGGATAACAGATCCTGGGGATGGAAAAGAGATCCCAAGGGTGGGAAACAGGTCCCAGTGGTGGCTCACAGATCCTGGGGATAAAAAACAGATCCCAAGGGTGGGAAACAGGTGGAAAGGAGATCCTGGGGGTGGGAAACATTCCAGGGAAATTTGCAGGGAACACGAGGAACCTGGCTGCTCCGGAGCACTGCTGATGGAGAAGGGGTGCCACTCGTAGGCGGCGATGGCCGGGATGTTCAGGTAGACGTAATCCCCCGGCTGGAAGCGGAAGGATTTTGGCCTCTGGATCACCAGGTGGGTCACCTGCAGGAGAACGGGAGCAGGAAAACTGGGAATGTCCAAAGGATATCTCCCGCTGGTTCCTGTGGAGCTGAAATTCCCGGTTCTGCCTCCCGTTGGGTTTGTTCCCCATTCCCTGCCCAGTTTGGGTTGCACAAAATCCCAGTTGAGACTGGGCTCAAACTACAGGATTTGGGGAAAAAAATCTGAGTTTTTGTTCTGCTCTGTTCTGCTCCAGTTGTTCCATGAATTTTCATTTTAAAAAAATAAGGAAAAAGGCTTGGAAATAAAGGAATTCCTTTGGCCTCCCACTGTCACCTCCAGCTTTTCTGTGTTTGTTTGTTCCTTCATTCCCAGAGTGCCGGGAGGAGGTGGGAGATGGGATAGTGGGATTTGAGATGGATGGATGGATGGGATTTGGGATGTTTGGGATGTGGGATATTTGAGATTTGGGATTTATTCCCACCTTGGAGGGCAGCAGCTTGGCCTCCAGGATGTGCAGATCCCCTGCCCGGCGCCACGCCCAGCCCAGAACCTTCTCCAGCACAAACAGGGAGCCGGGAATCAGGAACCACTTCCAGAAGTGGGGACCGTGCAAGAGCAGCAGGATCCACACGGGGATGTAGGAGAGGTGGCTCCAGTAGAAAACCTGGGAATGGGAGGGGGGATGGGAATGGGAATGCTGTTCCTGGTGGGGCTGCCTGGGTATCCCAGTGGGAAAAGGCAGCCCAAGGCAATCCTGGAATCTCGGGCACTGGGGATAAGGAAAGGACCTTAAACCCATCCAGTTCCAATCCCAACACCTCCCACTACCCCAGGCTGCTCCAGGGACACTCCCAGGGATCCAGAGGCACCCACAGCTCCCCTGGGAATTCCATCCCAATATCCCTGTGGCGCTGGGAAACCATTCCCTGGGTCCCGTGGGGAAGGAAATCCCAGGAACCCCGAACTGCGAGTGTGGCGTGCCCAGGGCTCCCGGGGTCCCACGGGGCAGCACCAGGATGGGCACCCCAGGGGTGACTCCCCTTCCCACCACGGCAGCCCCGGCATTCCAGCCGGGAATTCCCATGGGATCACCTCGAAGTGGCCGCCGCGCCGCACGCAGGGGCTGGAGCAGGCCAGCATGGCCAGGAGCAGCGCCAGCAGTGCCAGCCCGGTCTGCGGGGCAGTGCCACCAAGGCCGCCAGCGCCCGGCCGCGCCCGCCGCGCGTACTCGCCCAGCGCCACCAGCCAGTCCCGCTGTGCCAGGCCTGGGGACACGGGCACGGCTCAGCACCGCCCTGCCACCCCCGGGACACGGGGAATGCCCGCCGGGAATGCCCGCCGGGAATGCCCCGGGCCTGTCCCGGGGGTGCTGGCACGGGAGGGAGCAGAGGTGGCCCCTGCGGGGACAGAGCCCTGGCACCCGCTCTGGGATGGGGACTGGGGGTACCGGGATGTGGGGTGCCGGGATTTGGGAATACCGGGATTGGGATCCCGCTCAGGACCTCGGCTGTCCGGCGGGAGCCGCTAGAGGGGGATCACAGCCCGCGGCTGCTGTCCGTGCCCTGTCCCCTGTCCGTGCCCTGCCCTGTCCGGCCAGTGTCCTTGTCCCTGTCCCCGCCCGTGCACCCCCCGGCACGGCCACCACTCCTCCAGGGAATCTCCCCTTCCTTGGGGCACAGACACCCCTGCCATGGGATCCCGGGACACAGACACCCCTCCCATGGGATCCCGGGCCATGATCCCCCATCCCTGGGCTCCCCTGTCCCACTGACCGGCCTGTGCCAGCTGTGCCCCGTGTCACTGACCCGCCTGTGCCAGCTGTGCCCCGTGTCACTGACCCGCCTGTGCCAGGTGTGCCCCCGTGCCCTGTCCCACTGACCCGCCTGTGCCAGGTGTGTCCCGTGTCACTGACCCGCCTGTGCCAGGTGTGCCCCCGCGTGCGCGGTCCCCAGAGCCAGCACCAGGTGTCCCACGCGCTCGTGGCCCCGCACGTGCAGCTCCAGCGGGAACAGCTCCGCCAGCGGCGTGGAGCGCAGCCAGGTCAGAGAGCGCCGCAGCATCAGCGCCTGGGGACAGCGACAGGGAGCAAAGAGGGGACAGGGGTGAGGGCAGGGACAGGGCAAAGAGGGGGCGAGAGAGGGGACAGGGACAGCAGACAGGACGGAGATGAGGGCAGGATCAGGGGCGAGGGACAGGGACAGCGATGGGGACAAAGGGACAGGGACGAGCCGCGGGCGAGGGGAGGGCCCAGGGCACCCGGAGATAGCGGGGGGCAAATGGAAATGGGAAGCACTGGGAGATTCCGGGGTAATGGGAAATGCTGGGGGACAATGGGAAATTCCAGAGGGAACGGGACATGTTGGGGAACCATGGAAAACGCCGGGGACAACAGGAAACTTTGGGCCAGCGTCCCTCCTGGCTACCCCGGGACTCTCCCGGCCTTCCCGGCTCCCTCCCGTCCGTGTCCCCCGGTGTCCCCCGGTGTCGCGGGGCACTCACGGCCAGCAGGGCGCAGTTGAGGTTGAGGCTCTGCCCGCAGCCCCGGGCCAGCGCCAGGGCGGGGCCGCGCTCCCGGTGCCACAGAGCGCCCAGGGCGAGCAGGAGCGCCGTGGTGGCGAGCCAGGCCCCCAGGCAGCACCGCCGGGCCCGCTGGTCCCCGTGGGATTCCCGGGAAAAGCAGCACATCCCGGCCCGCCGGTCCCCGAGGGATTCCCGGGAACAGCAGCACATCCCCGCCCGCCGGTCCCCGTGGGATTCCCGGGAACAGCAGCACATCCCGGCCCGCCGGTCCCCGAGGGATTCCCGGGAACAGCAGCACAGCCAGGGCTCAGAGGGACTGGCACTGGGGGGCTTCAGCCAGCTGGCGGCACTGGGAAAATGGGAATTGGGGTTTGGATGGGAATTTGGGGGTGTTTGGATGGGGAACAGGGAGCCGGAGAAGTACCCAGCCCGGGGTGATAGCCAATCCTACAGCCAGAGTGGCAGCATCCCTGCATCCATCCCAAATTCCAAACCCTGACCCATCCCAAACCATCCCTGATCCAAACCCTGCCCCATCCCAAACCATCCCTGATCCAAACCCTGCACCCACCCCAAACCATCCCTGATCCAAACTCTGCACCCATCCCAAACCATCCCTGATCCAAACCCTGCACCCATCCCAAACCATCCCAAATTCCAAACCCTGCCCCATCCCAAACCATCCCTGATCCAAACCTTTCCCCATCCCAAACCATCCCTGATCCAAACCCTGCCCCATCCCAAACCCATCCCAACCTATCCCTGATCCAATCCCAAACCTCTCCAGCTGCTCCCGACCCCACTGTGGGCTCCCCATGGAATCCTTTGTCAGAAATCCCAGAGTTCCCCTCCCCACCTGATGCTCAGGTTCTCCAGGAGTTCCGGAAACGCTTCCAGCTGCTCCCGGAGCTCCGGGAAGGTGATGGAGCCGCTGTGATCCCGGTCGAGGGCCTGGAGCAGGGCCTGGCTCAGGGCCCCGAGCCGCTCCTCGGGAAGGGCCAGGGAGCTCTCCCGGAGACACCCCCGGAGCACCACCCGCAGCTCCTCGGCGTCGATGGAGCCGCTCCCATGGAGTCACCTCCATCCTGATATCCCACAGCCTACAGAGTCACCTCCATCCTGGTATTCCATAGCCCTACAGAGTCACCTCCATCCCGGTATTCCACAGCCCCATGGAGTCACCTCCATCCCAATTTTCCAGTCCTAATCCAGGAAGTTTCCTTGCAGGGAGGAAAAACCTGGTTGGGTCAGGATCTGCTCCCTGGAGAATCAGATTGATGCCAATATTCCACAGTCCTACGGAGTCACCTCCATCCCGATATTCCACAGTCCTACAGATTTTCCAGTGCAAAATCCTGGCTGGGTCAGGATCTGCTCCCAGGAACAAGCGATGGGATAATGGGAATGGCATCCAGGGGAGGCTGAGGTTGGATATTTGGGAATATTCCTTCATGGAAAGGGAAGCATTGGAAGGGGGTTGGGGATGGGAACAGTTGGATTCGATCTCCGAGGGCTTTTCCAACCCAAACAATCCCACAATTTCAGGAAAGTGGGATGGGGAGTTGGGATTGGAGCTGAGCAGATCCCGCTCTCCCCGGCTGATGGAAAATCCTGGGAAATCCTCAGGTGTGACCAATGGAATCCTTGTCTTCCTGCTGGAATTTTCCCATTCCCACATGGAACGAGGGCAGCAGCCTCATCCCAGCCAAAGCCGGATGCTCAGAGAAGACCAAATCCCAAATTTATCCCAAAAAACCCCAACGGATCTCATTTTTCTCCTCTCACCGTCCACATCGTACACCTGGAAGAGGAAGCGGAGCTTTTCCGTGGAATTCCCGTGGAGCAGCTGGCGCAGGGATCCCAGCAGCTCCTCCCGGCTCAGGGAGCCGCTCCCGTCGGAATCGAAGAGCGCGAAAAACCTCTCAGCAAAGAAGGACTGCGGGAAAAGCGGGAATGTTCCCGTGGAGCAGGGAATGGGGAACGTTCCAATGGATCAGAGGATGTTCCCATGGAGCAGGGAATTCCCACTGATCTCTCCCCTCTTTCTCAGGGATCCCTCCCTTCTTTCCACGGATCCCTGACCTCCTTGACCTGCAGGGCGGATTTGAACTCTTCCAGGCTGATTTCCTTCTCCTTCCCAGCGACTTTCCCGAATTTTTTGTTCACCCAGCGCAGCCACTCCGCGTCCGCCGCCGTTCCCATGGTTCTGGAGAGATCCCTAAATCCCAACAATCTCTTTTTGGCATCTCCTCCCAGCCTCGTTCCAGAGAGCTCCCAGCATGGAGCATCCCAAAGTTGGATCCTGCAGGGATCAGCTGCGTTCCATGGAATCCCAAATTTCCATGGAGCTACTGAGCCCTGGGATAATCACTGGGCCCACGGGAGCATCCCTGGGGGTTCCATTTTCCCAGAAAATCTGAGCAGGGATCATCTCCCATTCCTTCCTTCCCCATTCCCATTCCTTCCTTCCCCATTCCCATCCTCTCCTTCCCCAGCCCTCCAAAATTCCTCCAATCCCCCGCGCTCCATGAAATCCATGAGCACTTCCCAGCATCCCAGATTTCCCCAGGATCCCAAGGAAAATCCAGCTTTTTTCCCATCTCCGCTCTCCTCTTCACCTCCAACAGATCTGGGGAGACTCCAAAGGGAAATCCCGAGGAGAGGGATGGATCCGGCTGGGATAAATCCCAAATCCCTGCTCCCGCCTCATTCCCGTCATCCCTCCCTTCCCAAATCCCACCCAGCTCCGCGGCCCATCCCAATCCTGCTTTTTCCAGCTGTTGTTTATCGCTTTGCCAACCCCTGCATTGGACGTTCCCTGTCCCATCCATCCCTCGGGAATTGTGCTCCTGCCAGATCCATCTGGAGCCGTCATTCACGGGATGCAGTCCCGAATTCCGGCCCGTCAGGAGCACACCGGGAATGTCTCCTCCAGCCTCCATCCTCTGATTCCCTCCGGAATGAATCCGCCCGGGACGAGGTTGCCATGGGAATGTCAGGAGCAGATCCAGGTACAAACACTCCCCATTCCCACATTCCAGAGGCATCCGAGCCTGTGGGTCCCACCTGGAATAACCTCCAGGAGCTGCTGGAGCGCGGAACTGATCCCAAAAAATTCCAAACGCCCCCAGGATCTCAGGATCAACTGGATTAAATCCAGCCCTATCCTATCCCAAATCCAGATTTTTCCCATCCCCAATCCAGCCTTTTCCCGGGATCTCCGTGCCTTTATCCCGGCATTTCTGGGATCCCAAAGGTTTTTCCCGGGACAGAGCTGTTCCCCCCTTTTCCCGCTGCTTTTCCAGCTCTTTGTGCCATATCCAGGTGCATCCATAGGGAAAAACCTGGGAATTCTCCTGCTCCACGTGGGATTTGGGGCTCCAAGGGGGCTTTTCCCAGCTCCAAGGAACGGGAATTCCAGGTGGGAATGTTGGGAATGGGGGCCGGCAGCAACGGGAGCTCCATTCCCAATTTTCCCTTGGATTCCATGGGATTTGCTCATTCTGAGGAATTCAATCCCTGGTTTTCCCACATTTTCCCTGGATTCCCTGATTCTCCAAGGAATTTAATCCCTTTCATTCCTGTTTTTTTTTCCAGGAACCACACTCCATTCCCAAGTTTTCCTTGGATTCCAAAGGATTTGCTCATCCTGAGGAATTCAATCCCTGTTTTTCACAGGAAACCTCCCCCAATTCCCAACTTTTCCCTGCATTCTACTTCGAATTTGTTCAATGTTTCCATGTTTTCCACCCATTCTCCCAAAATTCTGAAGGATTATCCCAGAATTCCTTGGACTTTTAACCCTGAATTTTTGGGGCATTTTACCAAACTCTCCCATTAATCCAGGCCAGTAAAGCAGGAAAGTCTTGGAATATTCCATTAGAAAAATCAGGAACGTTGTAATTATCCCATACATTTTTCCACAAAAAAGAAAATAAATTTAATAATAATATTTTTAAAATGGGAGTAACATTTTCCAACTAATTTTAGGGAATTCTGGAGCCATCCCAGAGTTTTCTTCCTCATTTTTCACCTTCCAATCAGCTTTTCAGCATTTTTTAATCAGATTTTCCTGCTTTTTTTTTCCCTGGAATGCTGCAAAAAATCTGATTTGAAGGGGTTAAACCACAAATTGGAAATTCTTGTGGAATCCCAAGGGTGTTTTCCATGGAATTCCTGGATCCCAGGGATTTGTTTTATCCCAAGGTTCCCCAGCTGGGAATGTTGAGGGCGGGAATTTGGGGAATTCTGGGAATTTTTCCATTCCCAGCTGTGCAGAGCTGGGAGCTGTTCCTAAGAAAAAGAAGGAATTCTTTGTGTGGGAAAACAAAGGGACATTCAAGGGATGAACAAACAATTCCCAGGGATTTTCCATGGGAATTCACCCCAGGAATGCAGGGCAGGAACGGGAGGATTCCTCTGGAATTTGGGAGGGAATCCTGGGAAAAGAAAGGGGAAAACTGCAATTTCCTGTGGGGAAAAATCCCACAAATTTCATTAAAAATTCCTGCTAAAAAACAGTCCCAAAAATTTCAAAATTCCTGGGAAAATAAACAAGGAAAAATCCCAGAAATTCCTGGTAAAAATAAATCCCATAAATTCAAAGTTCCTGTTACAATGGCCAAGGAAAAAAAAACTTCAAATTCTTGCAAAAAAAACAAACCCCAATCCCACACATTCAAAATTCCTTTTAAACAAGGAAAAATCCCCCAAACTGAAAATTCCTGGTAAAAATTAAGAAGGAAAAATTCCATAAATTCAGAATTCCTGGTAAAAATGGACAGGAAAAACTCCACTGAAAATTCCCCTTAAAAACATATCCAAGTAATTTCAAAGTTCGTGGTAAAATAAACAAGAAAAAAATCCCAGGAATTCCATTAAAAATTCCTGGTAAAAACAAATCCCACAAACTCAAAATTCCTCTTAAAAATAACCGGGAAAAATCCCACAAATTCCTGTTAAAAACAAGGAAAAATCCTCAAATTCCTGCTAAAACCCAATCCCATAAATTCCAAATTCCTGATAAAAACAAACAAGGAAAAAAATCCCAACAATTCCCATTAAAAACCAAACCCACAAATTGAAAATTCCTATAAAAACAAAGCAGGAAAAAACCCACCAGGAATGAAAAACATCACAGAAGGAATGTAAAATATGGAAAAATAACCCTTCAGATTTATTCCCAATATTACAATCCCCAATTTTTTTTAAATTCCCAAACACTTGGAATACAAACACTGACAGGAGCAGCATTAAACATGGAATGTTGGCTTGGAACTGGGAATGAATTCCCTCAATAACGAAAGAAAAAGGAATTTTCTGCACCTTCAAACAATCAAAATCCACATTTTTCTTTGGAAAAAAAAAACAAAGGAAAAAGCAGCTCTGGACTCCCAGAAATTCCTTTGAAATCCCAGCTTGTCCCAGCAATCTTTTTTTCCAGGGGAAAAGTCCTTTTCCAGAGGTTTTCAGCAGCACCAGGAGCAGAAATTCCATGAAAAGTTCCCAAGGATTCAGCCCAGGAGCCACCTCTGGACACACCTGGAAAGGAGAAGTTTAAACAGAGCTCAAATCAAATTCTACCTCATTCCCAAATCCCAAACATTTGGAAAAGTTTGGAACATTCATTCCAATCAAGGATTTCTCAGCCAATCCCAAACTTCCATCCTAAACGCCTTAAGCATTCCAAAAAAAAGGAACATTTTGTAGTTTTCTTTTGCTGAAATTGGGATTTTTACCTGGAGTTGGATCCAGCTTTTCCCGTCCCCTTCCCAACATAATTCCTGCTGGTTTTATCCATATTCCTGGAACTTTTCCATGCTCACAGCTGAGACTTTATCTCCATCCTGTCCTGTAAAATACATTCATAAAATAAAGTTTCCCAAGGATTTTCAGCATTCCCTTGATGCTTTCCAACACCTCTTTGGGATTTTCCAGCCCTGTGTTTTCCAGGAAAAGCAGGAAGGGATAAACAGGAATTTTAGAAGGAATCAAAGCACTTTTTACCTGAGTTCTGCTCCAGCTGATGGGAACTGTTTGGAAATCCCAAATCCTTGGAAAAGAGCAGCTCTGGGCTTGGATCCTCATCCCTCAGCACCTGGAAAAGGATCCGGGAACAGGGAATGGTTTGGGATGGGAAGAAGCATCAAGTTCATCCCATTCCACGGGCTGGGATCATTCCCACTATCCCAGGCTGCTCCAAGCCCACCCTGGACATCCCAGGGATGGAGCCCCGGGAATTCCAGACCCACCAGGAATTCCTTTCCAATATCCCACCCCATCTCCCCTTTCCCAGTCTGAAGCCATTCCCGGTGTCCTGTTCCTTAACAGGAATTCCTTTCCAATATCCCACCCCATCTCCCCTTTCCCAGTCTGAATCCCAGTCTGTGTCCTGTTCCTTATCCCACTCCCTCTCCAGGAGCTCCTTTAGGCCCTGGAAAAGGCTCTGAGGATTCCTGGATCCTTCCCTTCTCCAGCATTCTCAGCCTCATTCTGCTGTTCCTGGAGTACCCAGTTTTCCTTCCAAATTCCTGGGATTTGGCTTGGAAAGGACCTCCAACCCATCCAGTTCCAACCCCAACGCCTTCCCCCATCCCAGGCTGCCCCAACCTGCCTTGGGACACTCCAGGGACGGAGCAGCCACAGCTCCTCTGGATACTCCATCCCTGTCCCAGCTCACTCTGCTCTCGTCTAGCCTGAATCCATGCCCCTTATCCTGCCACTCCAAGGAAAAAAAATCCCTTCCCATTTTTCCTGGGACCTGCAGGATTCCCGTCCTTGGCCTTGCTCCACCTCAGCACAGCCGGGCCCCGCTGTCCCTCAGGGACCTTCCCGGGGGATCCTCCCGCCCTTCCCTTCCCTTCCCGGGGGTCCCGACCCTCCCCGGTTCCCCTGGGAGCCGCTCCCAGCCCGCCCCGGCAGTCCCCGCCGCAGGGACCCCTGTGAGGGCGGCCCGGCCGCTCCCCGTCCTCACCGGGGCCCTTCGCGGTACCCCGGTCACGGGCAGCGCCTCCCGTTCCCCTCCGGAGCCGCTCCCAGCCCGCCGAGGCGGCCCCGGCGGCGGGGACCCCCGTGAGGGCGGCCCGGCCGCTCCCGCTGCCCTCAGCGCCGCCGCCCCTCCCTCGCTCCGCCCGCCGCTCGCGCTCCGCCCGCCCCCCGCCGCCGGGGCCCGCGCCATTGCCCGCGCCATTCCCGTGCCTCGCTCCGCACCTTTCCCTCCCTCCTGGCTGCGCGCCCCTGGCCGGGCGGCTCCGGTTTGGCCGCCGCTCCCCGCCCCGGCACCTCCCCCAGGCTCGGGCGGGCGCAGGGCGCAGCGCGCACCGTGCCCGGCGCGGCGGAGCCGCGGCCGCTCCGTCCCCATCAGGCGGCAGCGCGGAATGAGCCTGGGCTCGGCGCCGGGCTGTCCCCCTGCCCGGCACAGCCGCTCCCCCATTGGCTTCCGCCGCGCCTCACGCTGCTGATTGGCCGAGACGCGGCGGGGGTGCGCTCCGATTGGCCGATCGCGCCGTCAATCCCGGCGGAGCCCCCGGAGCGCCCGCCCCCGCGGTTATCAGGTTAGTGCGCGCCGCGGTGCTGCGCTCGGGCTTCCGAGCGGCGCTGGGCGAGCCCGAGTCCCTCCGCGCCCCGCGATCGGGGGGCTCTGCACGGGGTCACTGCGCCAGCCGAGCCGCGCACCCTCCGCGCCTCCCGCCAGCCACGGACATGGACATGAAGAAAAGGATCCACTTAGAGCTGCGGAACAGGACGCCCTCAGATGTAAGCAATGCAATGCCCAAAAAAAAAAAAAAAAAAAAAAATTAATGCTAATAACGCTAATGATGAGAATAATAAAAAGGCATCCCACGGTTAATTTTTTTTTTTTTTTTTTTTTTTTGGCGGGGTGGAGCGTGCCAGGTGTTGGCGGGGCCGCTGCTGCCCTTGAGGTGCCTACCTGTGTGTGTGGGGGGCCGTGCCCCCCGCTTTGGGGGGCGCGGGGCGCTCCGGGGACGGTCGGGGGCTCCCCGGGGCTGCTCCTGCCCGTGCCGGGCTGCGATGCCTCGGAGAGGGGCTGGCCGTGCATTAAATAAAAAATAAGTTGCTCGCTGCTCTCTCTCTCGGCGTGTTTAGTTGGCAAATATTTGTGCAGGGTGCTGGGCTAGGGAGAGGCAGGCAGGGACTGCGAGTGAGTTGCGAATGGTTTAGTTTAAAGTGCGTCTTCATTTCTTTGCAGTGATCAGGCAAGAGAGACTGGGGAGCCATATTTGTAACTTTGTAGTCCTCATGAACGCGCCCTTTCTCTCTCTCTCTCTCTCCCTCTCTCCAGATGCTGAGAAGATAAAAGGAAAGAATTTTGAAACCGACGCTTAGCGTTGGTTGGGTTTGGTTTGGGCTTTTTTTTTTTTTTTTTTTCCCTGTTGTTGGTTTTTTTTTTAATTTTTATTTTGCGAGCAATGGGGCATCGCCGCCGGTAGCGCGAGCGTTGAATAATAATCCTAATAATCATATGAATAATAAAAAATAATATTGGAAGAAATGAACGCACTCTCCACCCCCTCCATCCCCACACACGCACAAAAAGGCTGGATGTGTGTGCGTGTTTTTCCTTCTTCCCCCTTTTCCCCCCCTTCCTTCCCCCGGGGCCGGACTTCAGGTTGTTGTTCCGCGTCTGGCGGAATAAACGGGGGACGGCGAAAAACTTTGGCAGGACAAAAAAAAAAACCCCAAAAACCCAACCAAAAAAAACAAAAACCCAACAAACCCCCAAAACAAGCATGAAAATAACGGGGGGAGGGGGGAGGAAAGGAGCGAAAAATAGGAAAACCACCCCAAAAAGAGTGGGCGGGAGGTGGCCGGGGGCAGGCGGGGCGCGAACCCGCGGCGGGGAAGCCCCTTCCCCTCATCCCCCCCAGCCCCGCCGGGCCCTCGGCGCTGCCCGGGGAGGCTTCACCGAGCCCCGGCCCCGCCGCGTCCCCCGAGCCGCCGGAGGCTGCGGGAAAGGGAGAGCGGGGGGCGAACGTACCTCAGCGGGCAGCGCCCGGGGCAGCGCGGCGGGACGCGGCGGCCGGACCGAGCGCGGTGTGCTCCGGGGAGGGGGGGGGGGGGGGGGGGGACGGGGGACGACAAAGGCGGGCGCGGGGCGGCGGAAGCTGCGCTTTAAAGTTTAAAAACTCCTGGGCGAGCAGGAGGAGGAAGAGGAGGAGGACGGCGAGAGGAGCGGGGGGGGGGGGGGGACGACTCAACGGCAAACCCCGCGGTACAACCGCCATGGCCGGGGGGCTCCGTGAGGCGACCGCAGCGCAACTAGGACGCGGCGCCATGTTCTGTGCTGCCCCCCCCGCCTTCCCCTCACGGCCGCCGCCTCCTCCTCCTCCTCCTCCCGCCGCCGCCGCTGCCTCGGCCGCGGGCGGCCCCGCGGGGCCGTGAGGGAGCCCCGCTGGCGCCGGAGCTGAGGCGCTGCGGAGGCTGCGGCGGGGCCCTCCCGACATGACGGGCAGCGCTGCCATTTTGTCGCCGGCCGCGGGGCGGGAGGAGATTCGTGAGGGCCGCGTTGGGGTAAAAAAACCACCCCCCTAAAAAAAAAAACAAACAAACAAAAAAAAGCTTTAAAAAAATTAGGTTTTGTTGACTATGTGGGACACCGGGAGGTCCGAACGGGGCCGGGGGAGCACCGGGAGGAGCCCCGCGGTTCCCCCGGGTGAGCAGCGCGGAGCGGGGAATCCGCCTCCTTCCTGGGCAGGGCCCTGTGGGGAGGCAGCACTGGGCTTGCGAAGTGTTTTGCTCCTTTTCATCCTGTTTTTTCTTATTTTCCCCCGCTTTTTTTTTTCTTTTTCATTTTTTTTTTCCTATTTAAAAAATCCCCTTTTTTTTTTTTTATTTTTCTTTTTTTTTTCCTATTTTAAAAAATAGTTTTCTATTTTTGCTCATTTTTGCCCCCATTTCGCCTCACCACCCTCATCGCTGGAAGTTTCTTCCCCATTTTAAAGGATGTTTAGAACCAGCCTCCAAAGGGATAAACTCAATTTTCCCCTCTTTTCCATGCTTGCATTTTCTGCTGTTTCCGCTGGCTTTCGTCTCACGCCAGAAAAAGTTGGGAAAACTCGGAGCTGGAGGGAGTTCCCTGCTCTTCAGGGCTGGGAATGGGCAGCAGGGAGCTGGAAAATCGGGATCATTTCACCTTTCACCGCTTGGTTTTCCTTGGAATTTTCAGGGAATTTGGTGCCTTGATCCCCCCAGAGTGTTCTAAATCCCAGTTTTCCTGGTTTTTTAGGCAGAGAGCTGAAAATTCCAGTTGGGAATGTTGTTGTGTTCTTAGCTGTGTGCACGTGTTTTTCAGGGAATGAAGTTAATGGGTTGAATTCTGTTCCTTTAAAATATTAAAGGAAAATCCTGCTAATTCCACCCTCTGGAATTGGGATTTGGCAGGAATATTGATGGCCAAGTCATTTATTCCTGGATTTTAGGAAGTTTGGGATAGGCAGGATGAGTTTGGGAGTTGTTTCCTTTAATTTTGAGTGTTTGTCCTCATTATTTCCCAATTTTACGTGGATTATGGAGAAATCCTGGGAAAATCCCCCTGAGTTTTGGGAATCTCCTTGAATTCAGTGCTGCTTTCTGATTTAAATTGTCCTGAAATCAGAATTAAATCTTTGAATGTGGATGGGGTTTTGTGCTTTTTCCTGAGCTTCTTTGGGATGTTTTCCACCTGGTTCTCCTATTTTTCCATGGAATTCTGGGCTCTTCCATTGGATAATCCCAGAAAGTCACATCCTGATTAATAAAACATCCTAAAAACATCCTCAAGTGGATTCTGTGGAGAAATTCCTTCCTCAATCTCATTTCTGTTGTTTCACTTTTTAATTTTCCCTTTATTTTTTATGTTAATTCAGTGTCAGGAAAAAAGTGGGTTTTACTGCTGGAAAATTGGGAATTTTTGGCTGTTCAGGCAGTTTTTTCCCCAGGCATTCCCACTTTTTATCCCGTTAAATTTACAAATCACAGCAAAATTGTGATTTTATTTCTCGTATTAATATAATTTTAGTTATAATTAATTAATTGCTCCTAATTTCCTTCAGGAAGTGTTCTCCTGGGCAGATTTTGGCACTTTTGTGCTCATTTCCATCAGAAAATCCCAGGGGAAATCCAAATATTGGGAAGCAGGGGTGGCTGGGGGGTTAAAATTAGCCTGAAATTTTGATTTAATTTGGGAAAAAATTCCTTGGTCAGCCCCAGATTCCATCAGAACATTTGGCATTTCCCAAAAAAAGGGAATTCTCAGGAGGCAAAAAGCAAATCAAACAGAATACCAGGAAAAAAAAAATGGAAAAAATGGGAAAAACAACTGAGAGAAGAAAGCTTTTTTAAAAATATATTTTTAGTTTTTAAGGGAATTTTCCCACAGATTTTCCCACTGTTTTCCTCTGGAAATAAAATTTCCAGAGGAAAAAAAAAGCCAGGAATGAGAATATTGTGAATTTAAAAGCCAGGATTGGGAGGAGTAAAAGTCAAAGTTTGATACCTGAGGGAATCCCTGTGGATTGGAGGGAAGGAGAAACTTTGGCTTTTTTCCTGGGGAAAAAAGGGAGGATTAGCAAAGAGCCTTCCTAAAATTCCTTCCGAATGCCAGGGGAGGCTCAGGTGGGACATCAGCAGGAATATTTTCATGGAAAAGATGGATAAACATTGGAAAGCCCTTTTGGAATTCCCATCCAAGGAATTCCTGGATGTGACACTCGGAGCTCTGGGATCAGACTCAGTCCTGGATGTCTTTTCCAACCTCAGGGATCCCGGGATGCTGGGAGTTGAGATTCTCGGTGGGGTTTTCCAAGGAATTTGCAGCAGAGCAGGAATTCCAATGGGAATTTTGGCAAAGTTAGGGATGAGTTTGAAGTCCAGTTGGAACTTCCTGGGATGGGAATTTGGTGTTCCTTGAAAGGTTGGATTGATGGCTGTGTTCCATGGATTCTTCCAAGTCTTTTCCAAGGATTCCCTGATTGTGGGTTGGAATTCCAGCTGGATGAGCTGGTGTGAAAGAGGCGGGAATGCAGCATGTTCCCGAGGATCCTGCCTTTCCTCAGGAATCCTGGATTCCTCAGATCCACCTGGGGACTGCTGAAGGGACCAGGATTTCTTGGCTAGGGGGAATTCCCATAAACTGGAGCTTGGAAAAATTCCTGGGAAGCCCCGGCAGCCGCGGTGCCGCTTCCATCCGTAGAGGTGCCGATGGAATTCTGCTCCCGATCCCAGTATCCGTGTTAATCCCATCCAGTCCCTTCCCTGCCTCTGCTGTGGGATTCTCCAGGCATTTCCATGGAATTGGGCTGATGGATTTCCCAGGAACTGGGTCATGTTCCATGGCTGTTTTCCAGCACTGTCTTTCCCTGCCCCGGGAGTTTTGGGATTCTCTTCCCAGCACATTCCCAGCCAGGAGATGCTCCAGGTTGGAAATCAGTGAATCCCATCTTGGATATTCCCAATGGGAGTTTGGTATTCTCAGGAAAGGTTTAATCTGGGAAAGTGGTAGGATTAGATTGGTGGCTGAATTCCGTGGCTGTGGTGTTTTCCAAGGATTCTCTGATTCCCGGTTGGAATTCCCGTTGGGATGAGCTGGTGTGAAAGAGGCAGGAATGGAGCATTCCCAAGGATCCTGGCTTTCCTCAGGAATCAGTTTATCCCATCTGGGATATTCCTAAAAAAGCCCTGCAGGGCTGTATCCATATCCCAAATCCTGTGGGGTTTGGGGAAGGAATTCTGTTTATCTTGGGGCAGGAAAGGGGTGAAAAACCTTGGGAATTCTCCCTTCCCTGTGGAATGGGATCCTGCTCCAGGTCAGCTCCTCATTCCTGAGCAGCAGCAGCAGCTGAGGTTCCCCCTGGAATGGGAATCCCATGGAATGGGAATCCCTGGTGGCCACGGGCCATGGCACCTGCTGCCCTCCCTGCCCTGGGCAGAATTCCAAGGGCTCTGGAAAACCTGGAAGAGCTCCGGAGCGGTGGCCAAGCGGACACAGAGCAGCTGCTGGAGATATTCTGTGGAATCCTTCCCTGTTTCCCACCGGGAATGGGACCGTTCTGAGCTGCCGTGGGGTTGGATCATGGAGAGCTTGGAATTGCAGCTGGAATTTAATTAATTAATGATTTTAATTGGGTTCTTGATCTTGGGAGTTTTGGGATGATCTTGGAGCAGGGATTGGCTCATCGGAGCCTTCGGAGCAGCTCCGGTAATCCCGGGATTGAGTGGGAAGCTCATCCAAGCTTTTGTTGGTCTGGTTGCGTTCCAGGTGGGATTGGAATGGGAAATCTAGAGAATTTCTCTCCTCCGGTTGGAATTTTGGGGGAGACAAATCCTTGGAAAAGTTCCCTGTTAGAGGTGCTGTGGAAAGTGATGGGCTCTCTCAAGGTTTCTCCTTGAAATTCCGAGATTTTATGGAGAGGGAATGTGCCATGGAAGGCAGAGACGCCTGTGGGGTGTTGGGGAAAAATCCCACAAATCCAGTTCCTCCTCCTTTCCTTGGGGAATCCTCCTGGATTTCCTTTGGGATTCTTAGGGCATGGAGCCATCCTGGAGTTTTGTTTGGAGTGCTGTTGTTTCCAGGGATTCAGGGAGTTAACACCGACACGATGTTGCTCTTGGGAAGGGTTGGGAATGTGCTCTGCTCTTCCCAGACTGTCTCTGAACTCATCCAGGCTTTCCAAACGTGGCCTCTTGGATTCCAGGAGCTTTCTCCATGGATTTGTTGGATACGTGCCTTTGCCCAGTGCTGGAAACAGGGAAGGAGGGCATGTGGCATTTGTGCACCAAACTTCCTGAAAAGCGGGAGGAGGAAACAACCATCCGTAAAAAATTCCATTGAGAGGTGGGAATGGGATGGTCTTTAAAGTCCCTCCCAACCCAAGACATTCCCAAATTCCAAAACGATACAAATTAAAAGGAAAAAAAAGGCAGTTGGGTCATCAGCCTTCATGCTAAGGGATTTTCCTTTGTATCCAAGACCATTTCCAGCTCTTCCTTGAATCTCCGCTCTACACCTGGGGGAATTGTTGTCTAATTCCCTGGTTTTCTGTGCAATTCCCTGGTTTCCATGCTGAGGGAGGATGGAGGGATGGATA